TATATATATGGTATAAATAAGACAATAGTATACCAGTTAGGTAGGGTTATGATCGCCATGAGTCGGGTGTGAAAATGTGCAAAATGGCTGTTTGTGTGTGATGAAGGATCAGAAGATTGGGTCAAAGGTCAGAGGCCTGGCGTTCATTGCACAGTCCAGTGTGGGTCTGAATCGGAAAGGTCAAAGTTGGAAGGCTGAGAGTCCCTACTATGCTCAATTTTCTTTAGCTATCTCCTTGGCTTATTACAAGCAGCTACTCCGGTCTTCCAGTTATTCTATCTTACCTAATATTTTCTCAACCTTGAAAGTGCTTTCAGTCATTCTGTCCTTCCCAACTGTTATCCGCCCCTACCTGTTGTTTCTTATTTCAGCCTCTGTTTAGTTCTTGGCACTTGCAAGCTTATCATTTCATTTTCACTGTTTCTTAATTTTATTTTACCTACTTACAGTGTAAGCTCTGTGAGGAACAAGAGTCAAATACTCTATCTTGCACATTCTTTGTACTCAGCTGCCTCTTCGCTATTTTTAGTACATGTATTAAATAATAATTGCTGAAAAGAGTTCTGCTGAATTGATGCAATGCAAAATACTTTTAGAAGCACGATTACTGGGGAAAGAAAGTACATCTATTTCGATGATACTGAAAGGATGGAGGGGAGGATAAGTGTACATCTATGGAGAGATTTGCACCTTTGCGGCAGAAAGTTACCTGAAAGCTTTGATGCTCTCTCTCAGCTAAGAGAACAAGGTCGCTGCCTAAAATTAACGCAGTGATGATGAACTTGGGGGCATGAAGACAGCTACTGTAATTTGAATGCTAGAAGGAATGCAGAAAATACTGGAGGAAATCTACAAGGAGGACCAAGTATTGGGGAGCCTCAGTCTAGACTAACCTCAATTAGCACAACTGACGTATTTTCTCCAGCACTGCTCGGCAGTGTAGGCACCGAGGAGGAATCGGCTTCATCGAAACCTCATTTGAAGTTTGAAAGTTTAAGAAGGTTAGAAACTTGAGCAATAGCAAAAATGATTCAGGTGATTGAGCGTGTCTCCATTCGAGTGGATGGAGAAATAGAGCCAAAAGCAAGCTAATGGCTCCCAACAAAAATGAGAGAGCAGAGGGAGTAAACGACTCCATGTAGGCAAGGAGTGGTTGTAGGACTCTATGTGAAACAGATTAGGAAAAGACACACGTAAGGGTGCAGAAAAGGATAGAGTGACAGAAGGCGGATGGGAGTGATTCCACACATGGAATGAATTGGTGGGGGCTGGGGAGAATGTCTGGGGTAGGAGAAGATCTTATGAGCAGAATTACCTCCAAGATCTTTCAAAACCCATCAGCATCTGTCTGTCTTGTCTTGAAGGATGCTTCAAATATTTTATGGAATGTGGCGTAGCCCAACGACTCATCTGGTGGTAGTAAAATAAGGCCACTATGATCTTACTTGTGATTGGCCAACTTCACTTGACTAAGAAATGCCTGGCGGATTAGGGCAGGTCTGGGTGTGTCTGTGGATGACTTTCAGGTTGCAAACTGAGGAGGGAAGGCTCACCCAGATATGGATGGCACCAACCAACAAGTTAATAGCCTGGACAGAATAAAAGAGAAAGGAGAAAGAATTTTTGCTTTTTTCTTCTTCAAAGGTGCTCCAGTCTTTGCCATTGCCTTTGCGCATTAATCTCAGTCCCTTCAGGCTTCCAGTGCCATTTACATCAGACTCTCCAATGGGCTTCAATCTTTGACCCGATCCTTCAGCCCTCTGGAATGCAGATGACCATTTCCCACTCTTCCAGCCCTGATTCTGCTGGTGCCACTGGGACTCTCCAGCTTCTGATCCTATAAGCCTACCTTGTAAATCCTTTATATGATTGTATAGATATCTTTTTATGTTAAATCTGCTCCTCTGTGAACCCTAACTGATACAGCCACCTTAGGCACCATTAACAACCCACATTTCTCAACAGCTTCCAAGTGATTGGGGGAAAGTGAGATTACAAAGCTCATTACTCTCACTCAGAACATGATCTCCTCTGTGCTATTTCAAGAATGTGTTTAATCAGCAAATCACTGGGCCGCCTCTGAAAACTGGATCTGATGGCTTAAATATTCTTCACCTCTACACAGAACATACTAACAAGAATCATTCATAGCTTTACGTTATTTACCTCAATCAACAAATGTTTATTAACAAAATAAGGCTGTGCCAGGTATGACTCTACAATATAATAGCAGACTGACAGGAAGACAAACCAGAACATAATTCTTAGTGGAATGACAGCAGGCAGGTGAATATCAGATGACGACGATAAGAATTATAGCAAGTACATGTGCATAGTGATTTATAAATCATGCCATTTAGTTTAGCTTCTTTGTTCTCACAACAAAAACCTGTGAGGTGTCTTGAGTGCTTATTTTATAGGTGAAAAGACTGTGCTTTAAAGATTTCAGTAACTTCTTCAAGACCTGTAGCTTTTCCTCATCTTGATTTTCCAATAACTTGTACTTTGGGGAGCAGTGTTTCATGTTACTAGTGCAGCCTGCTCAGCGGGATGGTGCCAGGGGTAGGATCTCAGCCGGGCTTAGTTGACCACTTCGTACTCCAGGAACCGGAAAGATACAGAGATGGGCCTGAAGGAGAGAATGCATTTTCTACCCTAGCTCCACAAGGTGGCAGTGAGCCAGTGTGAGTCACTGTGGACACACTGCGGCTTCACGGGTAGAAGCAGGAAGGAGGAAAGAAGCACAGCAAAGCTTTGTTTTAGAGTTTGAAAAGGACCCACGCGCTCTTGTATACATGCCTGCTCGTGTATTTGTGGGGCAGAGGAGCTGAAGAAGTAGCAGTGCTGTTACTATACTCTCACAGCTTTTCATATTTCTGGTGGGCAGAACCTCAGTGAAAGAGAGTTTGATATCTGACACATACTATACTGTGTTCTCTTATCCAACACCGGTTATCCCATCCTCATATTCTGTATCACCACATGGGTATTATATCATATTCAAGATGATTATTTCAGCACTTGTGAAATTGGTTATTCTTTCAGGAGGAAAGCTCCCTGGGTTCAGTGTACTAAAGACCATGGCTGTGCTTACAATCTCTTTCTCCTCAAGCTTGCCTCAACCTGGTAGCCAGTAGAGAGAAAAACCAACTTTCAGTATCATGATGTGAAGGAATTGTATATGCCCTGAATGGCTGAAGGAATTCAAGACACTTGATGCTGTCCTGCCTTGCTAGTAATCAACATAGTGAATTTTGGCCATTGGATAATAAATCAGAGTTCCTGATAAAAGCACTCCATATCTGAAAAGACTTGTGGTCACCCATGAAGACTTAGTACCTATCTTTCCCACAGAATGATATTTAGATGCCTTGCTAACCCTTCTGGAAGTTAGTCTGAGGATTCCTACAGACTCCGAGGAAACGTTGGGTCCATGTACAGATCAAAATCCCCATCACAGAGAAGCGTGCACTACTCCAGCAGATTCCTTCTCCACTGGAGGCAGCTGCTTTTCCTCAGGCACTGGGGATAACTCAGGTGCTTTCTGTCCACACCTGGCCACGGTGAAGCGACTCATGTGAAGAGCTTCCTCGTAGCCTGGGAGGGTGTCCACCGAGGAGGGCAGCTGGCGCAGGGAGCTGTGGGAATGGGTCACTGCCAGAATTCTCCGAGCTGCAGAGCCAAACACAGACTGAAGGGCTGCAAGGGAAGAAGGAGCAGAGCTGGCTTATATGTGTTGTTTTCAGGTCTCAGGTGGTTGACATCACACAAATCTCCTTTCATCCAAACTCATTGTCACCCCCTGCCGCAAAGTGTATGAAATCCCATGAGGCTTCAGCTTCTAAGCTTCAGGTTCTGCTAGAAGAACTTTGTCTTCACACAGCCCTCCCCCTTCCTCTCCCAGACTTAGATCGCTGTACACCCACCTGCTGATACTGCAAGCCCTGAGCTTTATTCCTTCTGTCAAATGAAGGGAGAGAAGAGAGGTAGGAAAGGTGAACAGCGGCATGTCATATTGCCCTCCTTGCAAAATAAATATTAGTGTTTTGCTCTCTGCTGTTGCACCTTGCATTTACAGTAATGTAAAGTGTCTTAGAATAACAATCAGACGAATGTGGGGCAAAAAACTGAGCGTACCAAGACTTGAAGGACACAGAACTCAAAGTGCACACCACTAATTTATTTAAAAATACAAAACAATATAAAATGCAGGTTTTCACAAAATTTAAGACATTTTGAAAGATATGTTCAGCATTTGAAAATAGATTATAAAGTTATCTATAAACTTCTAAATAAATTTGGTTTGTGAGAATGATTTTTAAGATAGGTGATAGGAAGTAGGGAGATGAATCTTTCCCTAATGGGAAGGGGATCAAGCGATGGAGGGAGGAGAGAAAAAGAGGCAGGAAAGAGATGAAAAAGGGAACGAAGATGTGTTAGGAACATGTGCTAATTCCACACAGGGACTGTAAGTAAATACTATGTACTGCAAACGTGTGCTACTGATAAAGAACAAAAACAAAGCACTATAAACTGTGTGATTCTCCCTATAAAATGTCTCCAACATTGTCTCTAACATTTCACTTGCTTATTCACGCTATCACCAGCTAGACCAACATTCGAAAACACAGTCCCACTGAGAGCCCTGGTCAGCACCCCACTGGTCTCCTGGAAATTAAAATCCCCCTGAGTCCTGGAACCTGTAGGTTATCTGGCCGTACCTATGTGGTCTCCTCATCGGTCCTTTAAACCGAGGTCTCTTCCCCACGTCAGGGTAGCATACTCACAAGTGATAGTATCGTGGAGAGTGCTGTCATGGTCAAAAGCAATGACGGTCACTTCGCAGGGTGGCTGGCCTTCCTCCTCCCCATTTCGCTGGCGAGCCAGACAGCAGCGGAAGAACATGGAAGTCAGGCCGCAGAGCAGAAGCAGGACGCCGACGACCACCAGCAGCCTGCGAGAGCCGGAGGGTGGGCACGCTGGGAGATCTGGCTTGTTCTAGCTCCAGCATAGTGTCGTGAACTCCTGGCTTTTGATTCTTGTTGACATTATTTATAATAATGATAAGATTCTAATTCACATACACTTCCTTATTTGTTAGCAGGACTAAGCTGATTAGGACAAATAAGATATTTAAGGTAATTTGAAGCAGCTGCTTTTTACCTCGCTGAAGTAAACTTTGTAGAGATAGTTCTCGAGCAGATCCCAAAGGGCACAATAATCTTTTGATCTCCATGGAAGAGATGTATTCCAGTAGGATGCCCTCGCCTACTGTATCACAGGCTAGTGATGAGGTAAAGTAACTACTCTATGAGGCACTAAGTAGGCAGTCTGTCCCAAACCTTTTCTTCCTGATCTATCTACCCATCTTCTAGTATATATAATATACACATGCATAATTAGTAACTTTGCAAAATGAAATATCTTTGTGGGTATTGCAACTGAAACTTACCATATATACCACAGATGTACCCAATCTGTGGTCAGGCAGCTATGGAGGAAAAAAAATAAAGTTTATTATATTAAATATAACAAATATGAGTTACAATCTAACCTGATGCCACTATAAGAAAAGCAAGGTTATAATTTTTCAGTTTCTAGGTAATGAACTAATTCTACAGTGAAATGGTGTAAATAGTATTGTGTACGACACACCACATTGTGCAAATTGCTTTGTAAATCACTACAAACCAGACAAGAATAGTGGCCATAAGCAGTTTCAATAAAGAAAATGGACCTACAACTGTTGTAAATAGTTATGAAGAAAATTGACAAAAAATAACTTGAAACATGTTTATACAGAATGAATTGGAAAGTGGATATGAGTGCTAAAACTTTTACACATTTGAGGTCAATCAAATGTAAACATAAGGGAAATGTCAGTTAAAAATTTATGTTTCACAAGTTCTTACAACACTCTCACCATGGAAAGGAATCTCAGTGGTCACATCTCTAATATCCATATGCCCTGAGACCAAACAGGAAGGGGAAAATCTTTCCCTATGATGAAAGCCAACTACATATGCTGAATTAACCGTGGCAATTGTAAACTTTCTCCAGAGGGGTTGAATAAAATGGGTGCTGTGTGGGAGAAGTCTAAGTCCAGGAAGAAGAGAGAGAGAGAAAAGCAAAGTATTTGCAAGGACCCAAGTTCAATACCTGGTGCCAAAAGAAAAGAAAAACGAAGTATTTGTATGTCTTTGTAGATTGGTAACTTCTGTTCTTTAATCATACTTTGTAATACATTCACCTATGGAAATACATTTGTATTTCCACACATTTGTAGAAAGAAGCTTGTTTTGTTTGTTTTTTTTTTGACTGAACCTTTTATACTTTTGTTTTTTTTTCACATTCATCATGTGTTCAAAACCTTTTCTTCGTCTTGTTTTTTGAGACAGGGTCTCACTATGTGGTTGAGACTGACCTGGAACTCATTATGTAGCCCAGGCTGGTCTTGAACTCACAGTGATCCTCCTGCCTCAGCCTCTGGAGTGCTGGGATCACAGGCGTGTGCCACCATGCCTGGCTCATTCAAAGCCCTTTTAGCTCTACACTAGATTCTGATTCTGTAGGGCCAGACTTTTTCTGTAATGGTAGATGTCTGAAACCTCAGACAGTATCAAGTTGCCACAGTCTGATGTGAATGTGATAAGCAATCAAGGTAATCACTGTGTCCCACAGCTAACTATGTGGTTTCCTTCAGCCTGAACACATCTTGTTTTCTCTTTCCCTTTCCTTTTTTCCCTCCGTCCTTTTTCTTTCAATACTGGAGATTGAAATCAGGCCTCGTGAATAAATGTGTATCTTTACGTTCCTTGCCACTACCGGAGACTCACTCCTGACAGCATGAGTTTATGGACTAACTCCCTCACAGTGATACATCAATGAATTCTCCCATAAATATTTACTGCCCTAAAAAAAACAGAAATTGCTGCTCTGATTCGAAATAGGGATTTCACTTCAGAAATCACCCAAGGAGATAAGCCAGTGACTAGATAATGAATCCCGTCTGCCCGATGAGTCACCGAGGAGTATGGCTGGGAACGCCTTTTGCAAGTCTCCAACACTATGAAAATTGAGAAGAACTGTGCTACTTTGATGGGAAGACTGGCTTCGGAAAACACTGCTGTCAGCAGTGCTATTCTGAGTACCGAATGACACATCTACGTCTGTGATAGTGGGTGGATGCCCACTTGAACAGACATAAAGGGAAGTCACAGAGAGCTAATGACATTCTGACCTGTGTTTGGATATTGATGTTCTGTCTGTTTTTCCTTTCCCAGCTCAGACTCTCAGATACTTACTGTTCAGGACTGACACAATTCTCTTCACATCTTACTCCAGGAAGCTGTAGGAAGGGAAATAGTCTCAGACAGGGAGTTCACCTTGCCTCCTGTGTTCAGCAGCCTCACCATCCTCTCTCCTGGCTGTGGTGCGTTGGACACACTGATAAGGACGAGGGCATGTTCGGAAGGTCAGGCGTGTTTAGGACGGTGACTTGTGACTCTTAATCATTCCTGTGCCTGCTGACCTGAGGCAGAGAACTGGGAATAGATATTTACCTCACCTGCTTTTCATTTGTTCTTTTGTTTTGTTTTGTTTTTCAGTCGTGAATAAGGCTTACTGCTTGTGAACAAAGGGAAGCCACTTATATCAATTTATTTATCCTAGAAATTTCTCTATCTGTCCTTCAGGGTGTTTTGCTGGTCCTCACTCCTGCCCAGCTGTGAACTGCATTTTTCCTCACTGTGCTTTTTCATGTTCTCAATGCACCAATACCTTACCCCAGAAGACAAAAAAGGGAAGACAGGGGGCTTGCTGACTAGCTTACACATGCTAATGAGACTACGGGTTTCTGATAGTGCAATGATCCTGTAGATGGGCATCTTTAACCTTAGGGTAAAAGAACTAAGGCATAGGGTTGTTAAGTAATGAGACCAACTACACACACCCATGGATGTAGCCAGAATTCAGATCTGACTCTCCCACCACGAATATGCGTTGAATGAGTGAATACACCTAATGACAAGTTTGGTCTTACAGGTCCTTGATGGTTCTACCATTCCTCACAACCAGCAGCAACACAAAGCCAGATGAAAAATGCTACCACTCCTTCTTCCTTGTATCTCAGGTGATTTCCTTCTTGCAAGACCCTTTTAGTGGCAAAGTTTATTTCCAGGAGCTGTTTCTGTCTTCCAAAAATTTAAATGACCTGATAGTTCAGAAAAACAACAGAGGCTTTTATGATAGGCGGGAAGCGAAGGAGCACAGGGACCTGAGGTATAAAGAGACCGTAAAGGGCTAGGAGCCACCCTCTGCAGGTAACACTGGAGAAACTCCTGACTGTTGCTTTTGTTTTCACTTACAAGTGATTGCCAAGAGAAATGACCGAGTGGTTGTTTCCTCAGCCCAGGCCTGCTCTTTTGCTTGCCTTTCTTCATGAAAGTAAAAAGAAATCTAAGGTGCTCAGCAGAAGATATGCCACCTCTCAGGCTCATTGCAGAGAGGCAAAAAAGAAAACCAAAGGGAATAGAAGGAAAAGAAAGCTAAGAAAAAAAAGGCAAGAAAAATGAAAGGGCTTTTGGATATTGGTTAATTGGCATCTAGCAAGCAAAACAGCTGGCTCGCTCTGAACAGGAATGTGGTACAATCCAGATTGTGCACTTGCTGCCCCTCTTGCTAGATCTTATAGCTACATACTAGTTAATTCAGATGATTGTCCAGAATCCTTCAGTCTGATGAGCCCTTTGGCAACCAACAGATTACTCACAGGCTACCGATTCATAGTGGGGAGAAATAAAAATTGAAAATATTTTTAAAGAGTCTCCTTCAGCCTCACCCCCACCTCCCATACTGGAGACTGAACCTAGAGCTTCACAACTGAACTCCTTCACCTATCCCTTTTTCCTTTGAGACTGGACTTGGGGTCCCCCTTGCCTAAGCCTCCCAGGGAAGTCCTCCCTCTTGTATTTCTGGAATGGAGTCATCTAAACTGCTAGAATAGTATTAGAGCTGAGGCAGGAAATTCCATTTAGTGGCATTTAGTGGTATAAATTATTCCACATCCTGTGTAAATTGCAAATTGTGCCAATTTACTTGAGATTTTGTGTGATGGTGATAGTATATTAAATGAGAGAAACATACCTCAATTCTAAAATGCTATAGCTCTCCTGCAAGTATCTATGGTTGTGTGTGTGTGTGTGTGTGTGTGTGTGTTACCTGGGACTGAACCCAGGGTCCTTGCACTGAGCTGCTTCCCAAGTCTTTTTTATTTTATTTTATTTTATTACTTTGAGACAAGCTCTTACTCAATTGCCCAGGCTGGGCTCCAATTTACGATCCTCCTGCCTCATCCTCCTAGAGTGCTGGGATTACAGGTGGGCACCGCCACGCCCGGCTCACTGGAATTTCTGTCTCCTTTTCTAAGAGCATTAACATTCGTCACACATGCATCTGTGTAGCCCCACAATTCTAAGAGCTCGTGCCACCTCCTCCTCTCCCTTGCTCCTTTCCACTAGATTCCGTATGTTTTTTTCACCTCGTCCATTTTCTACAAGATTCTTCTGAGAGCTGATTGTTCCAGAAAGCAAAAATGCCTTCTCCCTCCTGCCTTTTCACAGCTGAACTCACCTGGACGAAGCAGGCCAGGCCCGAGGCCATCAGGACACAGGCAGGGGCCTCCATCCGGCGGCTGCACATCTGTCCCCGCCTCATGCACTGGGAGTCTGCTGCCTCTTTCCCATCCCCCGCGGCACAGTGACTTCTTGATCTAGAGTTCTTAAGAAATGTTCCTCGGTGATAAGCCGGGCGTTCCTTGTGTCTCCTCCCAGCCCTCCGAGTTCTGATTTGGAAGGTACCTCTCTCCTCTTTTCTCCCGGCTTCCCTCTCTCCTTCTGTTCCTGATTTTATTCACTCTGCCTTTGTCTCCCCTCGCCTTCTTCCACGCTGCTGTCAAGCCTTTCCGTGTTTTCGGTTTTCTTCCCCTGGCTGCCCTCCGTAGGAAAACATTCAAGGAAGACCCATTCGCCCTTTGGATTAGATGGTTTGCTAATAGTTGGTGAGAAGCTTGGCTTTGAGGAAGGTCAAGGGCGGCTGGTGCTGTCAGGTGTTCTCATCTTCATCGGGACGCGGGCAATGCTTCTGGGTCCCTTATCGCAGTCTGCCAGGTGACTGCTCAGGGTTGAAAGTCACCCTGCCAAGCTCTTCTCATCCCCCGCTTTTGTGTGATTAACACTCCCCCTTCTGGCTCTTCGAAACTCTCCCCTCACTGTGTTGATCATCAACTCTCCCAGTTCTGGGTCATTTATTCCTAACCATTGAGGCGGGACTGAGCAGCTACCCAATGACCTCGAAAGCCATCCCACCTTTGTGGCGAGGAGACCCGAACGTTAGGACTTCCAGGTGCTCTCCGTGGTCTCCTCCACTCACTGCATTTCTCTGGAACACATGAGCCAGACACGCAGACCTGTGCTCCAAAAACTGGCTCCTAAGGTCCACAGATTTCTTTCTTTGTGTTTTGTCGTTTTCCTCGTTTCTCTCCTCTCTCACCTTCTCCCTCCCTCCTGCTCCTCTTCCACCCCTCTTCCTCCTCATCCTCTTCTTTCACCTCCTTTGTCTTCTTTCTCTTTTCTGGAAAGGGAGGGCTGCGATTGAGAACAGATCCTGCTACTCAGCAGCTAGATGCAGCGATGAGCACTTGCATCCTTATAGGAGGCTGAGGCAGGAGGATCACTTGAGCTCAGGGATTTGAGACCACCCTGGGAGACAAAATGAGACCCTGATCTTAAGATAAATAAATAAATAAATAAATAAATAAATAAATAAATGAAAGAGGCAATCTTGTCACTCTAGAAAGCAAACAACAGGTCAGAGGAAAAAAAAAAACCCACATGGAACATAATACTAGGAATATGTCTGCTGGAATGAATGAAGGATTTATACTCAAGTAAATAATCTTTTACTGAATGCAAAGTATTTGATGAGAGTATTAGACACTAGTTTACCATGATATATCTGTCTCATAAGAATGGGATAATACTATGTGATGCTTTTTAACTCTGAAAGGCTAATTTTCCCAAGCAGTTGTTGAGGGGCAACAGCTGATCAGTACTGACCACCTCCCCAAAAGCTGTCACACACCGTGACACTGAATGCAGAAAAGAAACACTTTCTCTTCCCCTAAAGAAAACAGAGTAAGACAATATCCTGGCATGATGTTGATTATTACAATCTACTTGATTCAAAACTAAATGAATACGGATTTTTTTAAAAGTAAAGTTAATGGAATTAGGATGAAGAATGCTTTCCAAATTTTAATAGAAAACTTGACAAGGTAAAAGGCTTTGTGTAGGACAGGAAGAGCAGGACTTTAGTTATGGCCCTTCACTAAATTATTATGTGGTTTCCTCAGTCCTCTCGCACTCATAAAGCAGGAGCGAAGTGTCTCCTTGGCATGCGTCAGATGTGATTTCACAGAGAAAATAAAGTGAGAGACAAGAAATCTTCCCGCCTCTCCACTCTGGGGACTGGAGTGAGGGAGTGCTGAACTTTGTCTATAACAGACCCTCTCTGTTTCTGGTACTGGGGGTCATTTCCAGTGTGCTCTACTGCTGAGCTATACCCACAGCCCCATTCCCTTCTGTTTTTGAGGCAGGATCTCTCCAAATCACCCAGGCTGGGCTAGAATTGGTGATCTGCTGCCTCAGCCTCCTTCAGTGCTAGGATTTCAGATGTGCATCACTGTACCTGGCTTTCTCTCTCTCTCTCTCTCTCTCTCTCTCTCTCTCTCTCTCTCTCTCTATGTTGGGGACTGAACTTGAGCTCACACTTGCCAGATGAATACTCTATACTTGAGCTAAATTGCCAGCTGAGCCCTTTTTGCATTGTTATTTTGAGACAAGGTCTTACTAAATTGCCCAAGTTGGCCTCAAACTTGTAATCTTCCAGCCTCAGCCTCCTGAGTAGCTGGGATTATAGGCATGTGCTACTGTGCCTGTCAAGAAGGCATTTGCGTAGAATATTTCTATTCAATAACACATCCCTGGGAAGCATCGTGAACCTTTCCCCTCTCTTGTACTTGTTAGATAGACAGCAAAATGTCATGGCTAACAGCCTGGCTAGAATACTTGGGATTCATTACTTCTTTTTTCATGTATTAGCTGTGTGATCTTGGAAAGGTTATTACATCTCTCTGTGGGTTAATGGTGATGTTCATGTCATAGACTTGAAATAAGTAAATAAGTTAATATGCACAATGCATGTAATAGTCCTGATAACAAGTGTTTTACATAAGCCAAGATGATTTTCATTTTACTATATTTTACAAATAATCCCTACTTTCAAAACGCTGGATAATGAATGTCTTTCCTCTTGTGCACATTTTTACAGCAGTCCCTCTCTAGCCTGTGTCTCAGGGTCCTGATACAGAGTTCTGGTTCTTGACTATTTCCCTGTGCTCATGTGGCCCTCATTTTCCCAGCCCTTCCAGCCTCCACCAGCACGAGCAGGTTTGCAGTTAACAAGGCTCTCCCTGCTTGCTGCACTTTCCTGGTGTGTGATCTCCATCACCTTTTTTGCCCTCCAGCTTCCTTACAAGCTTGAACAAAATAGGTTTCTGTTAATGACTACCTTGTTATTTGCTTTCTTAGAATTACTCTTGCCATTTCTGTTTTCTCACTAGAGTATTCCCTGGGAAAAGAAAACTTCATTTTTATCCTAAGGAATGTAATTATGCCTTGTGAGAGTGTCGACTTAGGGACTGCTATGTAGGGATCCTTTATAGATAATTGAGATGGATGAGAAGACTGGAAAAGGTACCCATGTGCAGGGGCAGAGAACAGCAGCTGGGGTCATTATAACCTGACCCAACCTTGTGCGGTTCCATTAAGCTTGTGAATCATTAGCTTGTGCCCACACTGTTAAGGACTTGGATTGGAACCAGTGGAAGGTGCTTCAATAAGACCTTTTCACCTACACTTTTGGAAATTGTTAGACAAGCACTATAACAAGTGTAGCCAAAAGTGCTTACTTCTGGTTTCTTTGATTGTCTCTTCATGCTGTTAGTGCTTTCTCTGGCTGTGCAGAAGCTTTTCAATAAGATGAGAAGAGACAACCCATAGTGTGGGGAAAACTTTTTTGCCAGCTGTTCCTTAGACAAAGGTCTACTACCTAGAATATATAAAGAACTTTAAAAAAATCAGATCTCCCAAATTTAAAGACCCAATCCAAAAATGAGCATCTGGAATGAACAGACATTTCTCAGACAAAGAAGTAAAAGCAGCAAATAAACATAAGAAAAAATGTTCAATATCACTGGTCATTCGAGAGATGCAGATAAAAACAACACTGAGATTCCACCTCATCCCAGAAAGAATGGCTGCTATCAAGAAATCAACCAATGACAAATGTTGGCGGGGTTGTGGGGAGAAAGGAACCCTTCTCCCTCGTTGGTGGGAGAGCAGACTGGTGCAACCACTGTGGAAATCAGTATGGAGATACCTCAAACAACTAGCATTAGAGGTCCCATTTGACCCAGCTATTCCTCTGCTGTGTATCTTCCCAAAAGAATTAAAGGAATCATACCACAGCGATATATGTGCAACCATGTTCATATTGGCTCAGTTTATAGTAGCTAAAACTTGGAAACAGCCCAATTGTCCATCAACTGGAGAATGAATTTAAAATGTGTGGTTTTAAAAAATAAAATGGAATACTACTCAGCCATAAAGAATGAAAAACTGAGCCAGGCGTGGTGGTGTATGCCTGTAATCAATCCCAGCACTCAGGAGGCTGAGGCAGGAGGATTGCTGTGAGTTCGAGACCAGCCTGGTCTACATAGTGAGTTCCAGGTCAGTCTCAACTATATAAGACCCTGTCTCAAAAAAAACCAAAAAAAAAAAAAAAAAAAAAAAAAAAAGAATGAGAAACTGGAGACATTTATAGCTAAATGGATGCACACTGAGGCCATACTCTTAAGTGAAATAAACAGAACACACATTTGTAAATACCAAATAGCTTCTCTGGTGTGAGAAACTGAAAGTGTAAATAAGGACTAAAAGGCATAATAGATAATGTGAGCTAGGAAGAAAGGGGGTAAAGGGGAAGGGAAAGTGGGAGGGGTAGGGGAAAGGAAAGTAGGGGAAGGAATACATATGAGAAAAGGAGAAAGTGGAAACAAAGTCTTTGCAAATAGGGAGGCATGGAGGGGATGAAGGGAGGGCAGGAGAATGGGGAAAATATAAGACCCAAGTTACATCATGTAAAGGTACAAATTGTCAATTATGAATGTCGGCATATTGTATACCTAAAATGTACCAATGGAATTAATGAATCAACAGCAAAAACAGCAACACAACCCTGGCTACAAGGCTGCATTCTTATGCAAAAGCTCAGCTGGGGAGGCATCTACTTGCAAGTTCCCTCAGGCAAGATCCTTTCTTTGGAGCTGTGGGATAGGTATGTGTTTGCTTCTAAAGTCCAGATGGAAACATATATAGAGAGAGGGATGAGGAGAGGTGGGAAAATGGGGAGTTGTAATCAAAGTGCTCTAGAAAAGCCAAAAGAAAAAAACAAAAAAACCCAAAACCAGATACACACACACACACACACACACACACACACACACACACACACACACATAAATATCTATAATTTTTTGATAAGTAAATTGATAGAACCTGGCCAGTCCAAATCTTTGGGTCCTGCCAACTAACTGAAAATCCACGAGAGCAAATGTGTCCATTCCAGTTGATAGGATGGATAGCTAGAAGAGTTAGTTGTGTGTAGTTTCAGCCCATGGGCATGTGTTGGATAATTTTTTCTAACTAGGGGCAAAGTTAATTTTTCTGCTCTTCAGGCCTTTATCTTTTCAATGAGGCCCCACCCACTTTACAGACTGAAGTCTGTTTTATTCTAATGATGAATGCGTTAACCTCATACCCAAAGCCCCTATCTTGGGCACCCCATGGCTCAGGGAAGACAATAAATAAAATTTACTATCACTGGAGTTGTTGTTTAAGGTTGAATTTCACCTGGAGAAGATTTAAAAAGTTCAAGAAGTGGGTTGTGGTGATGGCTACCTAACATTGTAAATGTATTTAACGCCACACTGATCAGTGTATTTACAATGGTTAAAATTGCAACCATTTTATGGCATCTAAAATAACTGAGTCACTGTGGAAATCAAACATTGTCATTTTCATTGTGATGTTATTCTGGTATTTACTAATGCATTATTATAAGAGATTTCGTGAGAGTCCACTTGTGTGCCAACATGATGATTGTAGAAATGTGTCTGAGGCAGGACCTGATTTCCTGGCACTCTGCCCAGGGAGCTGGGATGGGGCTTGGTGATAAAGATAACGAGGACTTCTTCTTTTTTAATCAGTGTATTGTTAAAGTACATGTTTTCAGTACATAATGATTACATTTATCATAGGAAGTTTGTACCTGTACATATGGGGATGTTTTACAAGCAGGTTTGGCAAGGTTATATTTGCTACATGGTGAGTTTTGGTAAACTATGTTAAATGTAAGATAAACTATTTTTAATTTGCTGTTGGATATTCTGCATGGAAAAAGAGAATTAAGAACAGTTGGGAGGAAGAAAATGTAATCTTAATTAGACTGTGAGCCTTGGTGATTTTTCCTAATTACCTAGATACTTTATGTATTTATTAGTTTTACAACCTTCTTTTATCTATCATTTCATTTTTATTTGTCCCATAGTAGTTTAAAGCAGATTTCAGATACCATAATTTTTTACATAGATACTTCAGAAAATAACTTTTATAGGTAAAACTTTTTAAAAAGTACATATAACTTCAGCAATTATTTATTTTCTGCACATAGGGGTGTGAAGAGAAAAATAAGTGCAGATTCCATCTGTGCATATATATATATATATATATATATATAGAGAGAGAGAGAGAGAGAGAGAGAGAGAGACATACTTATGAGGATCTCATGGAAAGTCTTTGTGACTCAAGTTAATCATGGGTTAAACTCAAAGGTAGTTTTTTTCTGGGTTATTTAACTATGCTGACTATTACTACTAATATAGTGTGACTACTATTTATTGAGTTCTTATATTCCAAATACAATGCTTGTCATATATACTAACATTTTCCCAAACTTATATGGGCAAAGACATAGATCCATTGTTAAATAATTCCCCAAGACAATAGACCATGGGAAAGATTTGAGCTAGCTGTGTCTAGTTCAGTGACTCTCTACTGCTATGTTATACTGGCGTTGTATGAAACAGTGCACCTCTTTGCATTCTAAGATTACCCAACATATAAGAATCATATGAGATTCACCTCAAATTCCTAAGTCTATGGTCAGTTGAAACAATGAATATTAAAAAGGGAAATGAGTGACTTATGAAAGACACCATGTGGAGAAAATGTCCCATAATGAAATTAACAAAGAAACAAATGTGAACGCTGGAATCAGAAAATGTTGTCCTAATGAACGCTCTTCTACAATTTGACTGTAATTTATTCTCTTGAATTTAAACTTTCCCTGTCTGATGAGTGCAACAGTGCCTCTTCTTTCTCATAGAAAATATGTTTTTCCTTAAAAAAAAAAAGACTTTGTGAAATATCGTGAAACACCATCAAATTCACTACTTTCCCCACTTGAAGTAGACATAACCCAAGAGTTTGCATCAGCCAACTTCCCAGTATGAAGCAAAGCCTCCCCTCCCTCCTAGCAATGATTGAGTCATTCTCCTACTAGATAACAGTAGCTATTTAAACACTCCGGTGCAAGCTCACACATTTTCAGTTTGTTGTAGTTCTTCACTGCTTCGTCCTCTCACTTAACTTGAATTTGGAAATGACTTTTGATGATCTCAAGATGAACTCTATGAAGGACCAGCCAGATCAGAAGTCATTTGGAAAGAAAGCTAAAGGTACCAGGGGTGGGAGACTATGTGCGAGGACAGATTTCAAGTGGGAGCTCAGGAAATGTAAATTTACTGAACACTGTGATTAGAAAGCTAAAATACTCAAAAATCAGAAAATATAAGAGAATCAATACCACTTAAATAAAAGCAATTAGGATAGAATGGTGATGGTGATGATTATCTTACCCTATTTATCTATAAGCAGTTTTCTACTGGTGACTTTATTATTATTGTTGTTGTTGAATGGGGGATCGAACTCGGGACCTTGCTGCTTGAGAGGCAGGTGCGGTGCCACTGAGCTAAATCCCCGGCCCTCTACTACTGACTTTAAACGCAGGATTTCTGGGAATCTTTACTATGACACTTTGAGACTGATATTCTATGACTCCCTTTTACAGAATGTTAAGTTAAGATGCAGAGGATTAATAAGAATCACCTAGTTTCACGAGCTAGAACTAGGATCATACTACAAACTCCCAGTATCCAGTATCCATGACAGGAATTCAGGAAATCATGTATAAAGTGGTAACTTTTATAACAGTTCTTAAAATATTGCAAAAAACTTGTAATATTTTATTAATTATCCAAAGCAGATTAAGAGATACTCAGTATGGTTTAGTAGAAATTATATTTTGTTATATACTACTGCTTTGGAAATTATGATTTCTATTTGACACATGCAGGTATACACCAGTTTTTTAAGTTCAATTCCACAGGGAACCAAGATAAATTGCCTTTTATTTTATTTTTATTTTGAGAAAAGGGAATAAAATGCAAGAAGGGGAAGACAGACAAATATTGTCAGAAATTTGGATAAAGAAATTTCAAACCATGTTTTTATAAACAAACTAGAATTTCTTTCAAATGATAAAATAAGAGTAAACATGGAATAACTTAAAATTTGAGCTGATGAACTAACTTGCTGTGAAAACACTTCTGGCATTTGCTGGTGGACTTATAAACTAACAATAGCCATGTTTTTATTTATCCATTCACTCATTCATCATTCATGTAGTAAATATTAAGTCTGACTTTCATTATAAATAACTATACTTTCATAACTTTGGTTAGGTCTGTCACATACTCAAAGGATAAGAAATATGTACTCACAGATACTTGCTAAGATTAGGCAATTCTTTGCAAGAGATGAAATTTCTGGTTACTTCTCTGCTAGCTTGCATGCCACATGGGAGGAGATGATAACTCATTAAATCAGGCAATATGTTCCTCCCTGTCAGAATTTCTATTTATCACCCCTAGAATCTAACGTAATGCTTTTGACACCTGAGAACTCCATGAATATATTTGATCATAGTTTGACTTGGATCATTGAACATCCACATGGGAAATTTTGTTATATGATGTTCCAAGCAATGTAGATACTGACATTGACTGAAGTCCTATGTTTTGGTCTTAATAGCTGGTGTTCTTTATGGTGTGGTCTTAAACAAGTCACTGAATCTTTCAGTTTTGTTCTTTACATACAGAGGTGAACATTACCAGAGCTTTATTTATCTCATGAGGTAGGAAAACCTAATATGTAAATGATATGGGTTGTTTCTTGCCAAAGAAGTATCTAGAATGAATGATCAGATGTAGGCACACCTCTGAGCTCCGTGACTTATTTTCAGTACAGTGGTAAATTTTTCTGTGGCCTATAGTGGCTGTATTAGGCACACTGTTAATATAAGTCAAAGTAAAGCCACGTTTTCATTCCTCTTTTATTTTGGTTAGTGATTCCAGTTTCAAGATGTAATTACAGTGGAATGAAAATGAAAACAAAATTATGTAGAGAATTATGTAGAGGAAATATCAACTAATTGGCTAGAGCTCATTTGCTTGATATCTTAGCTTTATACCGTGTTACTCATAAAACGTGTGTGTGTGTGTGTGCATGCGCACATGTTTCATATTGCATGGACATAGCTGATCGAACCACATTGGACTGAGAGTTCCTTAAAGAGTCGTTGTAGAGGGTAGAAAATGAATAAGGTTCAGCATCAGATACTTAGAGTCAGATATCAGATACTGAATTTCAGCTTTTAAGTTTACCAGTTGTGTGACCCATGAGAAAATTACTTAAATGCTTTAACTGTCCATATTTTCCTCTGTATGTACAATGAGTTATTTAGAGCCATTGAGAGGATGAGAGATAAGGAATACAGAACAGCAAGGACAGGCAGGATCCGATGTATGATCTTATGCTTGGTCCATCTTTTGGGCCTTTCTGGTTCTATCCCCCACCCTCCAGGTCTTCGTCTCCTTTCTTCTCCGTGCTGGTGCCCCGCTGCCATAACTCTGGGCATCCTTAGCCTGGGATTGTTGGTGACCCTTATATTGCTGAGGAAGCAACGTAAGTGCTGAAACAGAAAAATGGGCGTGGGGAGTGAGGGTTCATAAACACAGCTCATCAGTGTGTTTCTAACACTGCAAAGCAGCCTTGACTGAGAGTCATTGAAGGCTAAATGCTTTCAGAATGAGTGGGAAGAGCAACTGGGATTTTGTGTTTGTTTCCAAGAGGATAGAGGCATGGGATAAAGATGGTACATGGCAGAGGTTTCATATTTATTATTTGGGTTTATTTTTTTACTTCAGAGACAGAGAGATCATATTTAAACACTAGCGCGACGGCGAATAAAATAATTTGAAGTACCTGGGCCTGGTGTTGCCCACCAGTAATCCCAGCAATCTGAAGGCTGAGGCAGGAGGATTGCAAATTCAAGGCCAATCTGGGCAGTTTAGTGACTTAATGAGACGCCGCTTCAAAATTAAAAGGAAAAAAAATTAAAAGATTGAGGAACTCGGGGGAAGGCCCTGGGTTCAAGCCTCAGTATAGAAACAAACAAACAAAAATAATGACATCATCAGAAGAACACAACAGGAAAAACATTATTTAGTTCTTGTTGCATTTTAATAGACGATTAAATACCATTGTAATGTTAACAACCAGGAGTACAACCTTAGTAATAAAACATTTAAAACAAATTGTACTTTAAATTTGTTATGTAAACATTTAGGAAAGAAGGGATATTGAGAGGCAAAGAAAGAGGTGAAACTAAAGGATCAAAGTAATCAGGAAAAGGGCCAGGGATTTAGCTCAGCGGTTCAGTGGCCTGTGTCACAAGCACAAGGACCCTAGTTCTATCCCCGGTACCACAAAAAAACAAAAAACCAACAAAGTAACCAGGAAAGGAAGAAAAGACATCCATCATTCAGCAGAGCCACCTGCGCACTCAGGTAGTAGATCTGAGTCTTTCAGCTGGCCAGATCTCAGCTCCCCGGGCCCAAGGCTTTTGAAGTGCCATTTGCTCTCAGTTGCTTGGTTCATAACATACTTTTATTTTCAGCCTATGGGCCTTTCCTTGTGATTGGGAAGAGGGTCTTCCACTCAGTGGCCAGGATTGGAAGAGGGATCTTCTGAGGCTTTGATCACTTTGCAAAAGTCTCAGCTCTGGCCTTTGAGACAGGCTGTTTGCTTTCTTTTGCACCATGAGGATTCCAGAACTGAGATCGTTGGCCCACACCACTCACTGCTGCTGGATTTCACCAGTTCAGTTTTATCTCCCATCTTCCTAAAGTATGCTATGGCTAAAAATAAAAATTAGAAAAGAAAAAGTTGGAGACTGTTGCGTTACAGTGCTTTAAACGTTTGGCGGGCACCTGAAGAAAGGACAAAGTTTACAGTTCCTAAATAAAATTCAGAAATCTGAAAGGGTGGACAGAATAGAAAGAGACACAATAGAGAAATTAAGACACATATAGAATAAATCACCAAGACCAGTTCCTGCTCATACTGTGCCCAATGGGCCGTGGACTATTTTAAATGATCTGTAATTTATTTATTTCATTGATACAACTTATCTTGCAGAACTTTTATTTTGTGTGTAACTCTTGGAAAACAAAATATAGGTCAACCTTCTCATCATAAGTATCTGCATAATTCTGAACATTAAAATATACTGCAGGAGTATCAACTAACTTCCAAAATAAGAAATTCTTAGTAAATTCAGATCATTTCCATCAGCTTTTGAAGTGCTCTTTGCTTCTCACTTAACGCTCAAGTTCACAAAATATTTCCATTCTCAATCTACAAGTGCTTCCGAATCTCTCAATGCTTCTTGAAGTAGATCATTTGATTCTGCGTTTTGATTTCCTTAAAATGCAGAAGGGGGGTTTTATATTGGAGATTGTAAATGGAATCATAATTTAACTATGGTTTAGTATTTCAGGTATCTGACCTCCTAAAACAAAGCCAAGCAAACCTGACTCACCAGGAAAATATCCTGAAAGGACAGCTGTTAGCCCAGCAGCAAGCAGAGAAACGTTGGCAGAATTCACAGAGGGAGCTCAGAAGAATGATAGATACCCTTTACCAGAAGCTGGACGAGAGGTCCAAAGAGAAAATAGAACTTCACAAGCAGAACCTGGGTCTCCAAGAAGCTCTGGCGAGAACGGAAAATTATTCAGGTACCGGGGAGGGGGCCTGAAGGGGTGACCGCACATTTCCCACTCAGTCTTAAGCATTTTTTCATGTATCTGTAGGCATAAAATTGTCATACGGACACAGTTTTCGGTGTTCATTCATAACGCTGTGTGCCCAGACGTCCTCTAATTTGTCATCTCCACCCTAACCTGTGTCAAATCTAGGGACATCTGATTTAATTAAGCAAAACTTTTGGTAGATTTCAGTTTTCTTCTTTGAAAGGAGAGCCTCTTGTTTCTCTTTAAAGTTCTAGCTTTCAGATTTATCAGAAGAACCTTCTGTACCACATGCTGTACATACTTGCCTCTTCCCATTCTCATGTGTCTCAGTCATCAGATTTCTCTTTGTAAGGGGTCTTTCCAGTCACCCCTGACCCCACCTCAGCCCCAGCTTCACTCTGTGACACTTTTGCAAAGTGCGCTACAGCAATCTCAATAGAATCCATGGAGAGAGGCTGTTTGGAAGGATCAGGTGGATACAGGCAGGTTAGACAAGCATGCAAGGGTCCAAGAACTGAGTTATCCTAAGAATCGACTTAATCTCAGCTGTTTAAAGAGTGGTAGAATCTAGGAGGGAGACAGAAATAGCATGTAAAAAATTATGATGTGAACTCCAGTATGATTGCATTAATTTCAACAATGTGTAATTAAGTCAAGTGTTTGCTTTCAGCCCTGAGCCAAGTTCCAAGGCATGAGATAGAGACCCTTTCAGATATCTGTCTCTTCCTGTGAAATGCATGAATGAGAGCCCTATTTTCTTTTATTGAGTTTATTGGCACATTTCAGGTATGCAGTACAATTACATTTGTTATTGGGATCTTGTACCTTTACATGACAGGTTTTGGTTCTCATATTTTCCCCCTTGTCCCTGCCCTCCCTTCGCCCCCTCCTCCCCTCCCCATTTACAAACACTTTATTTCCATTTTTTCATTTTGTCATATTTTTTTCTTTTCCCTTATTACCTATCCCCTACCCTTCCATTTTCCCTACACCTTTAGCCCTTTTCTTCCTATTTCACATGGTCAATTATCTCATTAGGATCTTATGTACTATTATAGCTTTTCACACCAGAGAAACTATTCAGTATTTACACATGTGTGACTTATTTATTTCACTTAGGAGTATGTCCTCAATATGTATCCATTTTCCTATGAATGAATCTAATTTCTCATTCTTTATGGCTGAGTAGTATTCCATTTTATAGAAAAACCACATCGTCTTTATCCAGTTTCCAACTGATGGGCAAAAGGGCTGTTTCCAAGTTTTAGCTATTACAAACTGTGCCGCTATAAACATGGGTGCGCATACATCACTGAGATATCATTCTTTTAGTTCTTTTGGAAAGATACCCAGCAGAGGGATGGCTGGGTCAAATGGAACCTCCAGTCCAAGGAGAGCCCTATTTTCTAAATTAGTGACTAAGTGCCACTGCTAAGCAGATTTCTCCAGCTTCTTGCTTGTATAGCTCACTTGTTTTGAAATATGTAATTTCTTAGCATAAGGATTACATACTCACAGATAAACATATCTTTATTTCATAGACCAAAATTGAGATGGATATAGATGAAAATTAGTGTGTTTTTTTGCATAAAGTTTTTTTGTTTAGAAATCCTTTCAGTATTTGCAGAGCAACTTAAATTTGCAAAATAAGCAGAAGTTTTTAGACTAACTAATCTTTAGCAAATGTCAGTCACATATTTCATTTTTTTAGGGAGAGAGCTTTCAATGCAATAAATGATTTTAGTACCTCAAGGGAGGCTCAAAGAAAGAAGATACTATGTCAAGGGCAGGCATGTTTACATGAGCAAATATAGCCGCATACCAACAAAGGGTCTGTTTCACAAGGGTATAAAAAAGTTTTTTAAAATCAATTGTAAATGGATTAAACTGATGGGATTAAATCTATGTGAGGACTGGCTGGTGCCATCTCCCATGTCAGGCATCTGTAAATACTCAGGCAGAGCAGATATTATGTCCATCACTGGTAGGTGTGCCGAGTAACATGTTACATTCCTTAACAGTGCCAAAGGCCAATGGGCAGAGATACTAAATAAAGTTCTGCTTTCATCAAGCATCTCTGAGAAAATTCTAAATTTAGTGATGATGCTAAAATACTACATGAAGCAATATTCTAATTTTTTTAAAAATTTGAAGCAAGTTTTACCTTTCTTACTAATCATTCTGTGGTATTCAGTAGCTAGCTAGCTAGCTAGCTAGATAATAGATAGGGAGAGAGGCTATAAGGAGTCATCACAAGTTTGCTGGAGGTCATCAAAGTAGTAAGAGGTACAGACATCACAGTAATGTATTTTACAATTGATATCAGAATTCATTCTTAGTCTTAAGTCCATGCAAATACTTTGTTAAAAATGACAGATCCCAGATTGACCCCAAGATTCTATATCAGAAGGTCTTGTGGAGCAGTGAGAAATATCTTCTCAGATGGCTGAAACTTAGAAGTTTGGGATTAAGTGTGTTTTCATAGTTAAAGACACAGCCTCCAAAGGTTAGCTTGTGGAGGTTCAAATTTCCATTTCCTTTCTGTCAAATGATGACATGGGTAGTTACGAGGGTTAAATGAGTTCATATATGTAAAGCACTTTCAACAGTTTCTGGCACATGATAAACAATATTTGTTAAATCTTACATACTATAGTATATATCATATAATATACATATACAGCACAGTATGTATCACCTAATACATCATTATTATACATATACTATATATCATATATACATATAATATATAAACGTATAACATACATATATGGGATAAATTATAGGATATACATATCTAATACAGTATATAACATATAATACACATACATAACATGTGTGTATACTCTCCATAATAGTATATAGTATACTATATAGTATAATATGCATATAGTGTAATATGTATATAGGACATGTGTCATTTTGGCTTTGTCATAGCTTGGAAAATTTGTCTAGACTATTTCTTTAGTATGAAAATTGATTTTTTTACATTTACATATGAAGCTGAGGAAATTAAGAATAATGTTGTATTTATTCCTTTCAAGTTGACCTTTTGTGTGACCTTTCCCATTCACTTTTATCATTTTTTTCAGTGTCCTCTTACTTTCTCCTTTCTGGTAAAGTCTGCTCTTATAAAATTACATGATGATTTTATGCCACAATGAGAAATAAAAACTAAAATATAACCCTTCTAGTAGATTTTAATTTTCTTCACATTTGGCTGTGCTTCTTAAAGAGGGTCCAAGCACTACTAACACAAAGCGAAGATGAAGGTGTGGATGCCAGTGTTGTGATGATTTTGGGGGTTGTTGGAACCGTCTACAAACATGTAGACATTGGCATGTGTCGCTTTTGCCTAAACCCTCAATTGGGTTTGTTGGATTCCCTGGGAATTTTTCCACTGAGAATGTCCATATTTCCTGAAATCTTATTGCAATTGAGATGCTCATTTCATACCAATATAATCATACAACCAATTTGTACAAAAGAAATACAGCATTGGCCACTATTTAACATTAAATTTTGTCATAATCACACTTTTGTTTTGTTTGGTACTGGGCATTGAACTCAGGTCCTTGTGCTTGCAAGGCAGGCGGTGGAACCACTGGGCTAAGTCCCAGCCCCATAATCACACTTTTTAAAAAAAGAAGGGGATGAAACAAATTTTAGTAATATTCTAGTTACCCCCAAATATTGGAAACATTAATTCAATACCATTGATTATAAATGTGAAAGTTTACATCTTCTCCACCTGCAATTTCAAAGTCTGATGTGTACTTCATACTTTCCAGCCCTTCTTAATGGTAAGAAGCTACATTGTCCTAAGTACAGGATTCACGTTTTCTCTCTCGATCAGCACTTGTCTAAAAACAGAAAGTTTAGAACCCAATCTTATTCAAGACATGAAATTCTAAAACTCAAGAACATTACTTTTAATGACAAGAGAGCTATCAAATATCCATCTTTAGCCGGGCACAGTGGCACACACCCGTAATCTCAGCCCTTGGGAGTCTAGGGCAAGGGGATCCCTATGATCTTCCAGGCCAGCCTGAACTACAAAACAAGACCCGGTCTCAATTTCTCTACTTCTATTTCTATATTTCTCACTTCCAGTTTTCCAAGTATAAGCCAAAAATTAATCAGGTTCTGAAATTACACCCCTTCTTCTTTTTTTAATAGAGGAAGTAAAAATACTAAATGAGAAGTAAGTTTAGTTTGCTAAAATCGATTTTTTTCTCTTTTTCTTCAAAAAGAAAGTAAGGAAAAATAATGATTCTGAGGCTGTTTAGGTCTAATTTCAGAGTGTGGATGTAATTTCAGTCAAGAAGAAATGGTGGGCCTATGGGGGATTGAAGGAAAGTTGGCTCAACAGTGGTAGAAGCGCTTCTGCTCAGACGTAACTCAGTCATCAGGTCTGCTGTACCTCCTAGGGCCTTGTCCGCAGGACTGGATCTGGCATGGAGAAAACTGCTACTTATTTTCCTCGGGAATGTTTAATTGGCAAAAGAGTAGCAAGAACTGCTCAGCTTTGGGTGCTCAGTTGCTGAAAATTAATAACAAGGGTGACCTGGTAAGTGTCGATGGGTGACTGCGGGGCGGGGCTGGAGCGCTGGTTAATGGTAAAACACATCTACCTTAGGTCCTGGGTGGAGGAGTCCTTAGGAGTGAAATATACCAGTTTTGTTTGTTTGTTTTGTTTTTTTAAACCTAGCCTGTTCATATGCATGACATTGGATTGACAGGCTGTGTAATATTGTGGGCTTCAGTAAACATTTCTGTACAATCAGGAAGGGGTCCCAAAGATCCTTTTTATTTATTTATTTTTGGGGTACCGGGATTCAAACTGTGGACCTTGCCCTTGTGAGACAGAAGCGGAACCACTGAACTAGATCACCGGCCCAAAGATCCTTTTGGTTTTGTTCTGCTTTTTTTAGTCTCATGGATTTAGTGCTACCTGACTCAAGTTTCCAAAAGCCTATATTGATTCTATCAGCTCAGACCTATTTCTCCCCACAGGATTTCATCCGGGAAGCCACCTCCCATTCTAATCTCCCATTCTGGATGGGACTGAGACTGCAGAAGCCCGGGAATTTGTGGCACTGGGAGGACAGTTCTCCTCTGAGGCCCCACTTGTAAGTTTCCCACTCTTCTGGATGCCTATGCTAAGTTTTCTTTTCCTTGCGGAACTGGCTTTGAATTCACTGCCGCATTCCGTGGATGTCCTCTTCTTGCCGCAATGAAGCTTGCAGAATTTGTGCACGTCTCCTCCCTCACCTCTCTCCCAAAGGGATTTGACAACTGATCCTTTCTGGCCTACTCTGGAGTTTTCCTTCCCACTTTCATTTCTGATCTAAGGTTTAAACAAGGCCAAGTTTCTGACGGTAGGTGGACTGCTAAGGTGACTGCAAATCTAACTTTTTCTTCTATTCCCAACCATAGGTTTAAACTTCAAGGTGCTTTTCCTAACATGTACTCTTCAGATACTTGTGCGTATATACAACGGGGAGATGTTTTCCGTGAAAACTGTATTTTAATTGCCACCCCTATATGTCAGAAGTCAGCAGATCTGTTGTGGACACAATAAATCTAAAAAAGCTGGACAAAAAAGGGAAGGTCTTTCAATTTTTCCTGGAAGTGGACTATTTTTCACATCTTGGGAGCAAACCATGAAGGCTTTGAGAACTGACAGTTATAACCAGCTTTAGTACTCCTTGGCAGAGCCTCAGAGTGGACTCATTGGAGGCTAAGACTGGAGCTTCATTGGAGGCTGCCTGACACCTTCAGATCAAGAGCTGCAATTCTATTCGTCCATGTTTGTGTTTTTCAAGCAGTCTGTCCCAAGCCTCCTGCCAACCTTCAGGCCTTTCTGTCCTCCTCTATTTCAAAAATCGACCCCTCACTGAGCTTGGGAAACTACTATCCTGAAGCTTCTGTACCTCAGTGCTGACTTCTGCAACTACGTGCCCAGCTGCATGAGGAAGGCAAAAAAGGATAAATGGGCCCTGAACAGTGCGCGTGATGAGACCAATCAGAGGAGAGGCCACTCTGTGCTCAAGAGTCTCTCGTTCCCCGCTTGAAGGGAACCACTTGCTGGCTTTTTATTGTGGTCCATCTCGAACTCTACCCAGGACACACATAGGTTGTGGTGGACCAGAAAGTCATGGACAGCTTCACTCTTTTCCACAGTTCGTTATCAACCTCTGAGGCTGTCATTAGTTTTTCATCTTTTCTTTGCCAAATAGCAGCCTAATCCAGTGTTTATGAACTACAAAATGGGTGTCCCAGAGACAAAAATAGATTTTTTTTCCTCTAAAGCCCAACCTATTTGTAGACAATCTCTCCTCACCTCTATCATGTTATGCTGTAATTCAGAAATATACAACCAAATGTAGACACTAACAAACAGGACCGGGTATGTAAATATTGCGGACTTCAAAGACATGTGTTAGAAATGCGTCTTCTATTTTCAGAGCTTCTGTCCCCTTCAGGGGACATTCTACTTTAAAAGAAACTTTACTATTTTGCTGCCCACAACATAGCAGTAAATCATATATATTCACATTGTGTATTATCCCCAGGAAGACAAGAGATGTCTTCTCTTGTCGACAACATTGTTGCTATGTGGTTGGCCTACACGATAGACTGCAAGTATTTAAAGCATGGAATCTGAAACATTTCCCACATGCAAACATATTCTCGTCATAAGATGAGCATGTCAGCAACCACGAAGGATTCACTGTGCCCTGCCCTGGCTTCCCCTCTCCACAGCCTCCAGACACCTTTGGCTTACATTCTGGAAGGTTCTCCGTGCATGGAACCATACAATGTGGCCTTTTTTCCTGACTTATTTTACTGTGCATAACTGCATTTGGGTCCATGGGTCTCTGTCTTGGTGATTGCATCAATCATTCGTCCTTTGCTTAATGTTGATTGTCCCCCAGGGGGACTACAATTTGTTTGTCTTATGATTATCTGTTAATGAGATGTGGATTATTTTAGCTGTTGAACAATTACACATAAAGCTGCTGTGAACGTCATGTACAAGTTGTCGTGTGAACCTAAGTTTTCTTTTGTCTTAGGTGAATACCTAGAAGTGCAACATCTGGGTCCTGTAGTAAGTGTATGTTTAGCTATTTAAGAAATTGCTTATCTGTTTCCCAAAGTTGCATCCTTTTACATTTCTGCCAGCAGTGTACAAATGATTCAATTCCACTTTATCTGTGTCAGAATTTGGTATAGACAATCTTTTTCTTTTTTTTTAAACTTCCTCCCCTCCTTAACCTTCCCTCCCTCCTTTGACCTGCTTTCTTTTTTCAAAGGATTCAACTCCTGTTTCCTACTATCTATCTTTTATTTTGCTCTTTGTTTACATTTTTGGGTTTCTCATATAAGAAATCGTGTGACATCTAAGCTTTCACGTCTCATTTGTTTCACTTAACATTGTGTGGTCTCAAAATGCATCCATTTTTCTACAAATCACTCGAGCCTATCCTGCCTTACGGCACAGTAGTACTCCTCCGTGCGTAAATGCTGCATTTTCCTTATCCATTCGTGTGTCGAAGGACACACAGGCTACTTCCCAGGTTTAGCTGTTGTGAGTTAAACTGCTATAAACACGGGTGTGCGTGTATCCCTGTAATGTGTCTTTAAGTCTTTTGGGAAAATGCCTGGAAGGGTAACAGCTGGGTTGAATGGAATTTTTATTTTGTTTTTTGAGCACTTTCTGGTGTGCTGACTTCCAAAGTACTGGTAGTTTACACTTCCAACAACAATGTAGAAGTGTTCCAATGTAGATTTATATATTTTTTTTGTAGTTTTAAAGTTATTATTAATCCCACTAACATTTGTAATATTTTTTTAGAACCATAATCCCCTTATTATTATATAACCTAAGACAGGAGGGGATTAATTTGTTTTTCTAGGCCTTGATTTTCCTCATCTCTGACTCTGCCTTGCCTTCTGTCACAGAGTCATCTGCTCAGCCGCAGGCCCACTCTTTGTTTGTACTGGGGATTGAACTCAGATGAACTCAGCCCTTTTTGTTGTTATTTATTTTTATACACCATATCTGATTTATTCTTGGAGAGAGAAAATACAAACATGGAAAACAATCCATGGTTTCCACTGTCTGTGGTAGGATGAGGGTTTGGTTACAAGGAGGAAGGGGAATATTGGGGTGGGTGAATGTTTATACTCTGTGTGCAGAGTTGTTATAAGTACATAACACATCTTAATTCCTTTTTCCATTTCCTCTCACTCCCTTTCCTATTCCTCCATCTATCAAGATCCATTTTTACTTTTTATTTTGAGATGGGGTCTTGCTAAGTCACCAAGTCTCTAAATTGCCCAGAGTAAGCTCAGACTTGTGATCCTCCTGCCTCTGCCTCCCAGAGTGCTGGGATTACATGTAAGCTGTGCACTGTCAGAAGCTTTCTGTGTTGGAACTGGCCCTCCAGAACAGCTGATTTGGGCATTCATTTCCATTTTTCCTCATATTTCTTTTGAGCTTTGTTTCATCTTTTTTTTCGTTTAAAATCTCTTCCTCCTCAGAAGTCAGCATGGCCTCCTTTTGTGGCATAGTGGCCATGAAAGGTGGGGTGGGACCGCTGTCCTTAGGGTGCGTTGTCAGTGAGCACAATGCAGTTCTTCACCAGGTTAGGCACAGACCACTCCTTGCTGGATGCGTTGTGGACCACACCAATCACTCTCGTTTTCTGACCGAGTGCAATACTCAAGAGACTAGGGAGAGTTTGCTCCCATCCAGCCTCGGGGCACGTACTTCTCCTTTCCTCCTGGCCCTTGACTAATGATGTGCGGTTGGGGTCAATCTTAGTGAGGACAGTGGTGCATCCCAGCTTGTACTTCCTCTTCCGGTGGCAGGGCTTGCTTAGGGTGCAGATCTTGTGCTAGTTGTCCCGGGAGATGCCCATGGCTCAGAGACATCTGCAAAGATTTGACTTGAAATTTTGATTTACAAATATTTATCACTAGTATATGGAAATTCAGTATTTTTATAGTAAGTTTGTACCCTGAAACCTTGATGAATTCCTTTCATTCTTCTAGTAATTTTTATATTGTTAGATTTTCTTTTGTAGGAAGACATCTTTCAGCGTTGTACCCTATGTATGGTGTAAACTATAGATATGATTTGTCAGTTTAAGAAGTGAGCCATCTTTAAAGACACTTAAATTATAAGAAAAAATATTATCTATTTACCTATTATCCTTTTTTTGGTTGTTTTGTTTTTTGTGTGTGTTTTTTGAGACAGGGTCTCACTATGTAGGTAAGACTGACCTGGAACTCACTATGTAGCCCAGGCTGGTCTGGAACTCACAGCAATCTTCCTGCCTCAGCCTCCCAAGTTCTGGGATTACAGGCGTGCACCACCATGCCCGGCTTTGACCCAGAACTTCTGATAAATTCTAGACAAATAATAAATGAGTCATGGTTACTCTGATGGAAGGCTTCAACCCAAAAGCAAACTATGACAAGAGGGAATAATCATACATTTTAATAGTACTTTAATTCCATGCACTAACTGGATACGTGTAAACTTCCTACATTCCCTGTAGGGTAGGTCTGCTTGTGACGACTTTTTCCTGCCTGCCTGTGTCTGAAAGTATTATTATTTTATCTTGTTTTGTGAAAAGTCTTTTCACTGGGTATGGAAAAACGAGGTGACAGATTCTTCTTTCTATGCTGTAAAGATGATCTACAGTCTTTTAGTTCAATGATAAATATTTTGTCATTTTTATCCTTGATTCTCTGTACATACTGTCTCTTCTAGATGGTTTGTTTTGTTAGGGTTTTATGCATTTATTGTTACAACATGCCTTGGTATTGCTGTTTTCTTTCATGCTTCTTATGGTTAGAGATTATTAAGATTTTGAACCTAATTTTATTTAAGGTTTTAGACTTCCATTAAGTTTAGGAAACTTTTAAACTATTCATTCCAATACTTTTCTTCTCCCCACCCCTCACCCACAAACTTTGAAGAGGCTCCAATACACTCGCATTGAGGTTTTTACAGTTATCCCACAGATCATATGACTGCCTGTCTTCCTCTTTCTTTTGTGTTTCATTCTTCCCCTCCCTGCCCTTTTCTTTCCTCTCTTCCCTTTACTGTGGGGAAAGGGCATTCTTCCCTGTGCTGTGTATTCTTTAAACCTTTTGGATGGTTCTCCCCATGGGCCAGCTGGCATCTCACTCTGGTGCTTTGACCTGCTCTCTCCTGATTACCCAAGGAGAACTTGGCAGATCTTTGAGGGATTTCTCCTAGGAGCCCTTCCTTCTCTTGTACTCTTTCCTGTGAACTCTCCCTGCCTTTGTCTTCCCAGACTCTCAACTGCATTTCCGCAATGCAGTGACTTTGCCAGTATCTCCCTACCTCTCCTTCCCTGTGTGTGGCCACTACTTCTAAACACTGAAACTGAGGAAAGCACAGAGTTCCCCTTACTTGTTTTCTGTCATTGTCCTTTGTCACTTGCTATCCACTGCTTTGAAAATGAGTGCTTTAGGTCCAGTTGTTTATTTTTTTGTCTAAAAGGTAAATCCAATCCCTGTCCCTGCATCCTGGCTTTAGCAAAAGCCCGAGGTCATTATTTCGTAGTTAGGCACTTAAGCTCTTCATTCAGCTGCAGGAATTTCCTGGCTCTCCTTCAGGTGTAGTTTGTGTTTCAGAGTCGGTGACAGAGCTGTCTTCTCCAGCCACGACGGCAAGTCATCTGTGCTCACCCTTTCTGCTGCTGTCTCCAGTCTTTATAGACAATGGCAGGTTCCCAGATCCCAGCTCTCCTGGGGAGATCTCTTGCCATTAGTTCATTTGCTGCTTTTGATCTCAAATACTTGCGCATTCTCATTCTTCATATTATTTAAATCACGTCTCCAAGTACAGCTCTTGCCCTGTAGCTTATTTATGGATTTTCTGTAAGCTAAAGACTGGTTCTCACTTTTCAAAAGGGTTATTAAAATCTGCAGCAAGCAAAGACCGGAAGTGGCTCACAAGATTTAAAATACTT